ATGCTGATAGATCTTAACAGCCCTCCCTCAAATGTGAAACAAAGTTCTTGTCACCATCAGTTTGTGCGTGTTTGTGTGTGTGCATGGTACAGTAAGTGTAATTATAACAACAACATCAATAATAATAATATATTTAATGTTTTGTTTAGAAAAAATTTTAAATAAATATGAGAAGTGCCCTTTTTTCCACTTGAGCCCCTGCCCCTCAAAATGTCTGTGCACATCCCTGCAGATAAGTCCTGTTTGGGCCAGTAGCAGCTATGTTTTTCATTAGTTTTAATAAGTCAAAATGTTTACCTGCATCTTAAGAACTTGATCTTGACCCTTAGAGTTTGCTTTAATTGTTGTAACCCAATAGTTAAGTTGATTCAGTAATGAATAATTAACGATGGGCCATTGGATTATTAGAAAATAATGCACAGTGGTGATGCGGCAATGATGGTGTGCATTATTTTCTAATAATTCAATGGCGCGGAGTCAGTTATTCCACTTATAAGCCTGAAATACACTACATGAGTTTTTCCCGATTTTCCGCTGATTTAAGGTGCCTTCCATTTGACCGTGGACTGCGAAGTGGACTTCACAGGGTATGCCACCATCTTAAGTGAGATTCCAATCTGAAGGGAGCGAACATGTTCGGTTTGAAGGGCACTGCGAACGGCATAGGGAGTAAGGGAACATCAATACATCACTTCACAGGAAGTGGAGGGAAAATCACCCAACTGTCATTGCGCACCACATCACCAGTTAGAACTAACGATGGAGCAGAGCTGTTGAAAGAGTTGTTTAAAGGAGGGGTTGCAATAGGCTACGTTCACACTGTTAGTTTTTGGGATTGACAACCACATTTACTTACAGGTGTAAGTCTCGAAATGTCTCGTTCACACAGCAGCTTATAGTAGCGTCTCGAATACTGTCTGTATGAACGTGCAACGGGAGTCACGAGTAACCATAGCGACAGTGACCAAAGTAAAATCAAAGGCCTCTGATTTTACCAAAGTAAAATCAGAGGCGGCCAAAGTTTCCATTTTTCTAATGCATCTCCTAGCAACAAAGCGCACATTTCTGCCTGAGTTTGTTGTGAACGGAACAACTTAAAAGCCTGGTAGTGTGTATTCCTCAGTCGTTTAGTGTATGATGGCCAGTTTTCCTTTGTTTCTATTTACGAAGTCGGTAAGTGAATGGTGCCTGGTGTTTTAAAAATCTGTTCAGATATTAAAAGCCGTGTAGTGTATTCCAGCCTTAAAACGCTCTAATGCAGTTATTCATGCAGTTTTGAGAGAGAGAGAGAGAGAGAGAGAGAGAGAGAGAGAGAGAGCAAGAGAATTGTCTCTGTGAGTCTGTGTGTCTCTCAACAGTGTTCAGCAGCAGTGTCTCTACTAATAGCAAAACTGTAAGTTCATCTGCTTCAAGAACGGCGCCATTATTACCCTATGAAACGTAATTTGGGAAAGGAAAGGAAAGAAAAGGAAAGGAAAGTCCCATATCGGAATTTGTGCTCTGCATTTCACCCATCACCCACCCATAATTTGGCGTTTTTATGTTGTTGTTTACTGTATTTATTTGCTTGGTCACTGTCGTTGTGGGTTTTGGTTCTTTTGTTGTTGTAAGGACCTTGGAATAAATTAAATAATTCGGCAAAGTGATGTGGACATGTAATGCGGTCGAGACCTGCCTGTAACTACTTTTGCCATGCGTTTCCCTGAAAATAATTGCACACCTGACATTTTAGGCAATGTAGGAATCCCGTCCAGGAAAAAGAGGACGTATGGTCACCCTAGCACAATACATAATATAGGCTAAATGTAACATCAGGTCAAAGGCAGTATGTGAAAAGTGTATCTTTCTTGTCTTAGAATGTCAATCCAATCCAAAGATTGTTTCTCAAACTATAGAACTAATAAATACAAAGCAACCTTACAAATAAAATGTAGAAAAAAAAAATACATCCAAACTCCCAAACTTTTGTATATCTCAGACTGAAGTGATTTGGTACTCTGAACTTAAAAGCATATGTTTACAAGAGAAGCAAAAAATAATAAAATATTATGAGGTCTTAAAGTGTGAAGTATGTGCTCTCAGAAACATGACAAGACAATGGCCATAAAACTGTCTTTTATAAGAAGCACTGATTGGATCTCACAGCACTGAGAGAAATGCAGGTGAAGAGTCAATACCAACAAGATCAACACTGGTGAGAATAACCTCTACTGTTCATATTTCTACATATTTCTAACATTCCTTTTGTCTTTCTATCTTTATTTCTTACACTAGCTGCAATTTTGTTAGATGCTTTAAAATAAAGGGTGATAATCTGCAGTTCAACCCTTAAATGCAGTTGGTGTAACCTAATGTATTTTGCTTGATTCAGTGATGTTAAATAATATTTTTAACTTAACTAACTTTAAGTAAATATAAATAACATTTTCTTTCAGAGTAGTCCAGTTCCCTCTTAAATGAAGAGGGCTTTTATGAATCACAGTCAATAAAAACTTCATTAAGTGAAAATTTACATAATTGATTGATGTTGATTTTATTATCAAATCATCTCCTTGCAGAAAGTAATTCTTTGGAGATTTTTGACAAGATGAGAAAATTGCTCTTGCTGTTTCTCACCATAACAGGTATGATCTGTGCTCTAGTTATATATCGTTTAAACATACAGTTAATATTAATTGTGTTAGTTTAATATTTAACATTGTGTCCTATTTTCTATATTTGTTCGTGCATTTAATGCAGCTTTCTGCAAACACTGTTATAAGTGTTTTTATTTTTTACTTGCTTATTTATGTAAAATTCCGGTCTGTTAAGAGTGGAATAGTACAAAAGTGCAACCTTATTTTTTTTAAACTTGGGAGGGTATACTTTGAACTACATATTTTTAATCATGCATCTTTAACAAAATAGCTTCTACTTTATTGAAGTAATCATTATTGGTGTAATCTTAGATTATCTAACAAGCTAAATGTTAAATAAAATCTTAAAAGTGGTAAATAATTACATTTAATCTCTATATTGAGTAAAGTTATTACTTTCTGATCATTAGCTTCTGTAGCTTTTGCCAGTCCACCAGTTCAGGATGAGAAGCTTCCTGATCCGGTGGTGAAGGTGCCAGTGGTTGAAAAAGAACCGACAGTAGAGCGCACAGAAGCAGAAGCAGGTCCTCTGGTGCAGGGTGAAGCTGTTGCAGATTCACGTCTGGTGGAGCCTGATTCAGTGCTGCTGGAGCCAGAAACAACAGAGGAACAAAGAGTACCAGAAGAGACACAAGTGATGTTGGAGAAACCTGTGCTAGAGGCAGATTACCTGACTAAAGAGACGCCAGAGACAGAACTAGAGCCTGAGCCGGAAATAACCGCCATTCAGACGGACAGAAACATCGTACCTGTGGAGAAAGCTGTAGCAGAGTTAGAGTCAGAAACTAATACAGAAGTGGAAGATGAAAAAGAAGAAAATGTAGTAAAGGAGGAGCCTACACTTGAGGCTGACTATATAACGGCTGAAGATCCAAAAATACAAATGGAACCTGGGAGGGAAAGTCGAAGGACACGTATTGGTAAACCACCTCAGATGATATTAGTTTTGCCACTCTGTACAAATAGCAAACAGGTCTTATACTAGCATACTTGGCCAAAAGCACTAAATATTGCAGTGTTTAGGGTCATTGTGAACAGTTGCCTTTATCAAGCAGGTGTGACGTGCTTGCGGCGGCCGCACTCGCGCATGGCTTGGAGGATGGAGAATCTTTAGTATGTTCATTTGTTTTGCAGTGTTTCACTTTTTTGCATGGTTTATTAATTTCACCACCATATCTGTCCCTCTAGTAAGTCACTTTACTGTTTTGACAGACACGTATTTCATATGGTTGTATGGAACGCCGTGGAGCTATAATGGCTGGGCTGTTGGAGAACGTTCCCTCTTAAATGAAGAGGGCTTTTATGAATCTCAGTCAATAAAAACTTCATTAAGTGAAAATTTACATAATTGATTGATGTTGATTTTATTATCAAATCATCTCCTTGCAGAAAGTAATTCTTTGGAGATTTTTGACAAGATGAGAAAATTGCTCTTGCTGTTTCTCACCATAACAGGTATGATCTGTGCTCTAGTTATATATCGTTTAAACATACAGTTAATATTAATTGTGTTAGTTTAATATTTAACATTGTGTCCTATTTTCTATATTTGTTCGTGCATTTAATGCAGCTTTCTGCAAACACTGTTATAAGTGTTTTTATTTTTTACTTGCTTATTTATGTAAAATTCCGGTCTGTTAAGAGTGGAATAGTACAAAAGTGCAACCTTATTTTTTTTAAACTTGGGAGGGTATACTTTGAACTACATATTTTTAATCATGCATCTTTAACAAAATAGCTTCTACTTTATTGAAGTAATCATTATTGGTGTAATCTTAGATTATCTAACAAGCTAAATGTTAAATAAAATCTTAAAAGTGGTAAATAATTACATTTAATCTCTATATTGAGTAAAGTTATTACTTTCTGATCATTAGCTTCTGTAGCTTTTGCCAGTCCACCAGTTCAGGATGAGAAGCTTCCTGATCCGGTGGTGAAGGTGCCAGTGGTTGAAAAAGAACCGACAGTAGAGCGCACAGAAGCAGAAGCAGGTCCTCTGGTGCAGGGTGAAGCTGTTGCAGATTCACGTCTGGTGGAGCCTGATTCAGTGCTGCTGGAGCCAGAAACAACAGAGGAACAAAGAGTACCAGAAGAGACACAAGTGATGTTGGAGAAACCTGTGCTAGAGGCAGATTACCTGACTAAAGAGACGCCAGAGACAGAACTAGAGCCTGAGCCGGAAATAACCGCCATTCAGACGGACAGAAACATCGTACCTGTGGAGAAAGCTGTAGCAGAGTTAGAGTCAGAAACTAATACAGAAGTGGAAGATGAAAAAGAAGAAAATGTAGTAAAGGAGGAGCCTACACTTGAGGCTGACTATATAACGGCTGAAGATCCAAAAATACAAATGGAACCTGGGAGGGAAAGTCGAAGGACACGTATTGGTAAACCACCTCAGATGATATTAGTTTTGCCACTGTGTACAAATAGCAAACAGGTCTTATACTAGCATACTTGGCCAAAAGCACTAAATATTGCAGTGTTTAGGGTCATTGTGAACAGTTGCCTTTATCAAGCAGGTGTGACGTGCTTGCGGCGGCCGCACTCGCGCATGGCTTGGAGGATGGAGAATCTTTAGTATGTTCATTTGTTTTGCAGTGTTTCACTTTTTTGCATGGTTTATTAATTTCACCACCATATCTGTCCCTCTAGTAAGTCACTTTACTGTTTTGACAGACACGTATTTCATATGGTTGTATGGAACGCCGTGGAGCTATAATGGCTGGGCTGTTGGAGAACCCAATAATGCTGCTGGGCAGGAGAACTGTGTAGAGACGTGGTGTAAGTGTTGCTACTGAATAGTTGCATTCATCACAGATAATTTTAAGGAATAATATATAATCCTTTAACTCTTTCAACGCTTTCCTCTTTTTCCTGATCTGTCTTTACCAGTTTAACAAAGCTTTGTCTATTTTCAGATAATCTGGCATTCAATGATGCACCATGCACAAGACCCAAACCGTTCATCTGTTCCTGTCCACTTTAGACAGCCAGAAGGTTAACCTAACCTGCTATTCAGTAACTTTTATGAAATAAGTGTAAATAATAATTATTATTGCAATTTTTAAAGATTAGTTTTTAAGAGTTATCAACTGATGTTTTATTAAATTTGCCTTGCATTTTTACAAAAAAAATAAAAAAAAATAAACATGTTTATATACCACAACTGTTTCATTTAGTTCGGATAATATAGCATTAAATTGTTGTAAGCAATTTAATTGTTTACAAGCTAAAACCATCCTTTTGAACACTTCTACTTTATGCTTAAATAAAGCTGTAAAATCATATTCAATAAAAGTGACTTTTGTTCTATTTTATTACTGTATCTAAGGCTGTAATTTTCATGCCAATTGTTGACTCATTTAGCTGTTAACTGAAAGGTCACTCAATGTTAAATCCTCGCAGAGCTTTTCACTAAAGCTTCACAAAGGCTTTCGGCAGGCGCTGGTACGCTAATAGCTCTCATCACCATGAGCCTACCATGCAGGCTGTTTTCCATCCCATCATCTGGCCAGGAATGC